AAGTTATAAAAAAAAAAAAATGAGGCAGACGGTATAGGTTTTTCATACCTAGTGGCAGGTGGCACAGAACTAAATGTTGGAGCCTTTTTATAAGCAAGATTAAATTGACTCATGACAGCTGGTCACTAAAATACAGGAAGTGCAGATCTGGTTGAAAGTGAGAACACACTGGTGTTTGTAAAGTTTGTATCACAGACTAGAGCTCCCTTTTTTTTTTTAAGTCCGTCTTAGTGAGACCTTTTTGGCATTGTCTGCCATTTGTCACTTGCACACAAATAGATCTTCAAGGAACATGCAGGTCAATTTGTTCTATCTGCAATGTCTAGGTATGAGTTCCGTGGGTGTAAACAAAATCGGTGAAGAGACCTGGCTCTCCAGAACATCAGACACGTGACTACTAGCAGAGCGTTTTAGTTCTCCACATTCCCACTTCTTCCCCTGTCTAAAGCGACAGCAGATGTGGGAGCTGGATGGCCATGGGAATGGATAATGAATCTGTCAGAGATAAGTGGGATGTCACAGAAGTCTGCCCCCTACCCATCATGAGGCCGGAGGTTACAACACCAGGAATTGACAGCAATTTCCCAGCACTGTGAAATCCATTTTTTTTTTTCCAGTTGGGGGAAGAGCCGCTCTGGCAAGGTCTCTAAATAACAGGTTTTAGCATCTGATTAGAATGGAGCTGATGAGAAATAAACTGAGCTGTGGAAAATGAAAGGGAGTCATCTCCAAGTACAGGCATCATCCTGTGCCTCAGCCTCTACTTGCAGTGTTCAGCCCCAGCACACCAATTGTTACAGTGACTTAGCAAAGACAGCCCAAAAGCTGAGCTAGGTCACCAGATGTGAAGTTACAGTTTTAGCCAGTGTTCAAGCAATGCCTCTCCCCTAACTTTAGCTGGACCAGGGTAGCCATCCCTGCATGACACATTGAAGCTAAAAGAAGCACGTTCCAGAATAATTATGCTATCTGCTAGGCAAATGCTTTTTTCCCCTCTCCCCTGAGCTGTATTCTTTTCCTAGGTCTTTCAGACATTGTTTTAAGATGGTCTTGCTTTGGGTTTCAGTTATCAGATAAATCCCCTGGAGATTAAATGAAATTAAACTGTGTTTATGATATCTCACAAATTTTATAGAGTCTCCTTTGTCCAGTGTAATACTAGTTTTGAAAACCAACAATGAGGGCATGTGACAGTTTTCAACACACATCATGGAGTGTTTAATTTAGTACAATGTCTATTAATTTTCCATTAATTAGACCAGTGTCAAGTTAGACATAGTAGAACATGTGTAGACATTCTTGCTTTCAGGAAGCTTACTTATTATCATTTGTTTTAATCATCTAAGTTTTTAAGCACTTATTATGTGCTTTTTAATCACCGCAACACACACTAGGGATGTTACAATAAATAAAGCAGACACAATGGCTGCCTCCCAGAAACTTCTCTAGTGAGGATGACAAAATAAGCAATTAAAATACAGCTTCCAGTCTATAGCAGTGATAGTATGGACTTTATTATGCAGCTAGCCTTGCCTTATGTCATAGGAGCACACAGAAAAGGCATCCTGGTGGACCAGAGAAACATTCAGATAGTTGATCAGCAGATATTTTTTGAATACCAAAAAGGAGCCAGGCACTGACATATGTAAGTTAATATCTGAAGGGAAGAATTATCCAGATCAAAGAGGTAGGAATAGGAGAGTAGAATGCTGTAGGCAGAAGAAACAGCTTATAAGAGTATCTGAAGGCAAAGTTTGAAGAACTAAGTGTACAGTTAGGAGTGATACAAATAAATCTGGGAAAGGGGCAAGAGATAAATTGCAAAAAGAACTTGCAGTCCATGTTACAGAGTTTAGACTCTATCCTGAAAATAATGGGAAGTCTTACAGTTCTGTTCCAGAAGTGACCCAAAATATATTTGTGTAAAAAAATATTTTGACTATTGTGTTGAGATCGGGTTAGAAAGGGGCGTACCTGGAGCACAAAATTCTGTTTAGAAGGTGTTACAATAAACCAGATCAAAGGTGATAATCACAGCTAAGGAAGTGATTGTTGCCAGAACTGTATGGATTTTAAAGAGACTCAAGGAAGAGTGCATTTGTCCATTTGCATTGCTATAAAGGAATACCCAAGACTTGGTAATTTATAAAGAAAAGAGGCTTGTTTTGGCTCACAGTTCTGTAGGCTGTGTATAAGAAGCATGATGCCTGCATCTGCTCAGTTTCTAGTGAGGACCTCAGGAAGCTTCCACTCATGCTGGCAGGCAAAGGGGAAGCAGGCATGTCACATGAACCCAGGAACAGCATCTATAGTGAACAGGCTGAAGAGGTTTCTGAAAATGAGCTTGGGTAACCAGAGGGGAGAGTGTCAGGAGAAAGGGAGAGGTCCAGAGTCAATGCCCCTGAGAAAACGAAAAAGGCAAGGAAATGTATCCATTGGATTTTCAACAGGGCAGTCGTGGGTGATTTGGCAAGGGAGGCTGCGGCCATGTGCAAAGACTGAGTGAGTGGGAGATGGGAGAAAGGAGATGGAACTATAGGACACTCAAGAAGGGAGGGGAGGGGACTAAGGAGGTGGCTGGGGAGATGACCAAATGCAGAGTAGGTATGTCCTCACCTGAAGATGGGAGAGACTTGTGCAATGAGTGAGAAAATTTAAAAGTACAAAGAGCCTTTAGTAACAACCAATTCAAGCACACAGACACGTTTAAAGAAATCAGAAGAATAGAGCTCAGGGTAAGTACAGTGGTCAGGATGGATTTCAGAGAAAGGTTTTGAATTGCGTTGAGCCTTGAATGATTAATAAGCTCTTGGACAGCTGAGAATGAGCTATTAATTGGAAGAAATCTGAGCAAAAAATAAGACTAAACATTCATCTCTTCTCTTTTACCTCCTTTTATTATTCAAAGAATAGCTTCTCAGCTAATATAATGTCTTTAGAATGGAAATTGCCTGTAACTCAGAGTGACTACAAGTATGAAAGTATTAACAGTTACAAGATATATAATCCAATTTACAATTACTCCTTGCATTCTTGGTCTTCACGCATGAAACCAGATTATTCTTTGGGATCACATTGTTCAATTTCCTCATTTGGAATTTTTAACACTAGATATGGTGCTAAATCAGTATAAGCTGGTGCTTCTATCACTTAGGTTTTAAACATTCTCCATATATATAAACATACCCATAAATAAAGGTGTTAATGTTGGAAGGAGAAAGATCCTTTAATAAGCAACCTAGCACAAGTAATTCCCTGCATATGGGAGACTGTTATAGGACCTAGCTCATAATTAAACATCGACTGTTTAACTGAATTCTTTTTTATCTTACCTTTCTAAAGAATATACAAATGATTATTTTCAAAGGTGACATTTATGTGTTTAAGTTGAACAAGCTTATTATAATTTGTTAGTACACAGAGAACAGATTGTAGCAAGAAGTATGATAGATTGTAATAGACCCCTGAGGAAGCTGCAGTGTGGTCTTTCCAGACAGGTGTGAGTAGATGGTGGTTGCTTTAGGACTACGTCTTGCTTTCAGTAATAGTCTTAACCATTCCTTTTTTTCCTTGTCGTAAGTATGGGTCAGTGTTCCAGATTCTGGATGCACTAAAGAAAAACTTGGCCATTGCTGTGCAGCCATTAGAGAAACCAACATTGTTGTTAAGGAATTTTGTTTTCCTACCTAAGAAGGAACATTCTGTTCTCTTTCCCAGTTCATGTAATTTGGCCCAAGACAAAAAAAGTAAAATGCCGTAATATGTCTTTGTCTTAATGAAACTTGAGTTTCTACATTTTTGTCCTAGTTCCTGGAAGAGGCCAGGTTTGTTTTCACACACACAAACACACACGCACTCTGTCTCTCTCTCTGTCTGACTCTCTCTCTCTCTCTCTCAGGTTCTGACTCTGACCTATCTCCCTAGCCCAGGTACCCAGGTTCTCTCCTATGTGTGGAATGTCTCTTCCCACATATATTATTCTGACCTCTGTTGTGGCCATTCTGTCAACGTAGGTTTTACCTTTCCAGAGGAGATGGTGCGTGCTCGGTGTGATACCGTGTATATCCTGCTGCCTCAACAAATATCAAGTTAGCTGTTGCAATTTTATAGTCAAAGACTTCGGGCATTAGGATGTATTTTTGTGGAAATTGCGTATTCCATTGTTGCCTCTCATGTATCATGGCTTTATTCATAGGCAGCAAAGGCCAGGACTTAGCTAATGACTTCAAAACCCTGCCATATGAAGGGTTTTTTTTTTTTTTTTTTTTTTTTCCTCTCCTTTAGGATTCTAAGCATCTTTTATCAGTCATTTGGCCTGTTTCTGAGAGCCCTTTGTGATTCCCTGATTTGCTCTGAGTGGGATGTCTGAGGATTCCCGTCACACCTCCCCTCAGGTCTGTTAGCGGCCATGGTAGAAAACTTCTTCTGATCTGAGGAAATGTCATTTTAGAGTGCAGAATGAGAACACTTGATTATAATTTCTTGGTTTTCTAAGAATAAGTCTGAATAGCAAATTATTTTAATGGTTATCTTCCTTTTTAAGCAAATAAGAATTGTCTCAACGATTTTAAAAAAAAAGGTAACATTGTTCTTTAAACCCAAATGAAACCGAGATGAAATTGTCATAGATTTGTTAATATCACTAAAAGACCTTTTCCTAAATGACAGTATTTTGGAATCTGTTGAGGGCCCCCTTGACTCTGGAGCCAGTTATATTAGGAAAGCTTCAGGCCTCCGCTGACCTGATCGCTATTCGGCTTTCTCAAAGTGAGGTGTGAGGACAGGCGGCATCATAGCAAATCTGCCCTCTGCAAACGGCTCTCTTTGGGAAGATTCTGAGGGCTGGGCCTGCAAATCTGTCTCTTACTAAATGCCTCTGTGTAGCACTAAAGCACTGTACAGTTTGAAAGGCACAACCCTGGCAGACTGATCAGGGAAGCCTCTGTGGTCACCAAGACCAACTCATCTGACAATGAACTCTTTGTCTCTCCTCTGCGCAGGTGCAAGTGCAATCTTCATGCCACTGTGTGTGTGTATGACAACAGCAAACTGACATGTGAATGTGAGCACAACACTACGGGCCCAGACTGTGGGAAATGCAAGAAGAATTATCAGGGCCGACCTTGGAGTCCAGGCTCCTATCTCCCCATCCCCAAAGGCACTGCAAATACCTGTGAGTAACTTTTCTTGGTAACAGCATATTCTGTGCACAATGAGGTGATGGCTTCCTCTCAATTTTGCTTACAATTGTGATGTTACTCCTCTTAACTGTTAAGTTGTCTCATTCTTCTTTAAAGTGCTGCTAAAGTTTTAGTCCCGGTCTTACCTCTTGTAGACATCTTTTAGCACTCTGATCATCTGTAAAATTTAGTCATCTGACATTCACATCACATGTGTTGGGAAATTATACTTGACATCACAGAAGGAAATTTTTTCTAAGTGGATGAGACAGGAGGTGATTATTTTTCCTCCCCGAAATTAATTTTCAATTAAAATATTAAAGGCCTTGAAAAGTCTCAACCCTAATTTAATTTTAGCCATAAACAATTTACAGAAATTATTTGAATGTTTACAGCCCTACTTCCCATACTGGGTATCCTGAGAGATGCTTTGTCCAGAAGATATTTCCCTCTACAATTTTAGCTAGGCCCTAATTTTGCCTGGTGCTGTTTCCAAACTCCAGGAATTGAAACATACCTGCTTCAGATCCTGTGTGTAGAGGCTCCCTTTGGATAAAGAGCATGACTGTAGGCCTGTGGGGACCACATTAAGAAAAAAGGTTTTTATGTGCTTGTGAAAGCATGCAAGCATTATCTGTGTTTATAGAAACCATGTGTGTGCCCCCATTGAAATCCTGATTCCCCGCAGGAAAACAGGCTCTGACATGCTCACAGAGAAATGTGATTATTTCCTGAATAATTTGCCCAGTTCCGTGGATGGACCAATTACCTACCTGCAACAGCCCAAGGTTTGCCCTCTTTAAACAGTAGTGAAAAGGGGGAGATTAGAATGTCCCCATTCAGTGAGAACTAATAGAAGCAGTAGCACAGTGAGCACAAGAGAATGAGAACTTGAAAACCCACTGGTTTCTTAGAAGGGTAAGAATGTTATCAGGCACTTCAAAGCAGCAGCTGTGAGCAACCAAACCTAAGAACTAATATCACAGGAACCAGGACCTTATCAGGTTAAACCTAAGAGTCATGGACCAAGTAACAAGCCATGAAGTATGGAGGTATGAAATTATGATAAAATTTCTATGAAGCAGAAAGAAATTCTTCAAAAGTTAACCAAAAAATCCTTCTTTGTAAGGGTATTCAGTTGCTTTCAGTGTTACAGAAAAAAAAAAAAAAAAACTGACTTCTTGCTCCTAAAATTAATACATTAAAGCTCTGTTGAGCAGAAATGATGCGTCAAGGCGATTTTATTAATGGAGATTCTGTGGCCTCTCCTTGGTTGTTGAGGGCCATAGACTCATGAATTTGGAAGGGATCTTGCAAGGTTATTTGTTGCAAAACCCTGTGGCTGGCTACCTAATCACTTCTATGGACACAGTTGTCAAATTTAGTTTAATGCTTTCCTAAAATGGCTCAGCTTTCCTTTTTAGTGTCTGCTCCTTCTTTAGTGGAAAGGCTGGAAGAGAATGAAGTTCACAAACACTTCCTGGCATTCTGGGTGGTCCTCAGAGCAGGTCAACTTTCCAAGGCCACTGGTGAGGCAGCAGGGGAGGGCTGCTATGGAAGGCATCAGCTTCTATTCTAACATGACCCTGTTCTTCTACCCACATCTGTACTTCGAAGTTTTTATTTCAAGACACTTTCACTGGAAAGCCTTCTTGTTTCATCCGGACTTTCTCAATGAAATTGATTTTTTGTTATATTCATCATGAAAATGACTTATATACCCCTTATCCTTTGCATATTGAAAATCACCAAGTTACTTTCTGGGCAAAGGAATGAAACCTCTTTCAGTTTTACCTTGTAGATCCAATTGTCCATCCGTCCCTTAGTGTTTACTGGCTTTCTCTAGACTTTTTGGACATTTTTTTCTCATTGCTGTTCAAATAGGCAGGTGATGGATGGACTCAGTGTCCAAAGGGGTTCAATTAAATATTCCAAAAATCAGTATGTCAGAAATTAGCTGAATAGTTTTATAAACTATCTGCAATGGAAAAGTCTTGCAATGGAGAAGTCTTGCAATGGGAATAACCCCTCTGACTAAATCTCTGACACCACAGACTGTGCGTTAAAGCATCTGAGGGTGGAATTCCATAAGCAATTTAGTAGTTTAGTGCAGATTCCAGGGTGGAATCCCAGTTTCTTCATTTACTAGCTATGTGACCTTGAAAAAGTAAGCTATCCTCTCCAACACTGGTTCCCGTCTCTAATATGAGAATATAACACTTATTACCTCACATGGATTTTTAGACAGTTGACTAAGCTTACACATGTAATGTGTTCAGCCTAACACCTGTCACAAAATATGCATCCAAGAATAATTTATTTTTCGATTTTTTTCAGAAGACAGTCTGGTCCATTGTTGGACAGTTTTAACTGGTATAAAAGTTATTTCTTATCAACCCCCCTTTTTTTTTCTTTATAAGTAGTAAAAGTATATCAACGCTGGCTTTATTTCTTCCCCAGGTTAACCATTATCAACTCCACCTCTTATGTGATAATATTTTTACGTCCTTTACCTGGTTGCCTGCCTGTAAGTCCTTTACTTCATTAGTGTGGTACTTCCAGCCAAGCACAGGACCTTCAGTAGCTTTATGATTCTGTCTTCATATTGGCTTTTTCTTACACATATGCATACAGTTACACACACTCTCACATGACTCTAGTTGGTACATTTCAAATCAGTTATCTATGAGGGCTACGTAGGATGTATCATCGCTCAACATAAGAACACAAAAGTGACAACTTCTGGTCCCTCAAAATCAACTCTTCAGGGACCTATAAATGCTACTCAACCTGGATAATCTCTAGATTTAGCAGAATCTCAAGCAACCAGGATACTTTTCAAATAGGATGATCAGTTTCTGCTCACCTTCACAAGTTTTAACAAAATAACTAGGAGGCCTTTATTAAATCAGGGAATGACAAGATTCTCACCCAAGACACGCAGCCCACCACTCAGGCGTACCCTAGATGGGATCTTGCTGGCAGTCATTTGGCTTTGGAGGTCCTATATTCTGGAGCAGTTCAAGACCACTATTGTATGAAACATGTAAAGCCAAGCAGAAGTGTGCAGAAGGCCAACACTCTAAAATATAGCCACCCTAGTCTGAGACACACATTTCCCTATGCTTTTTGTGACAATAAACTTGACAGGGGCAGAATAACTTTTGTGGTATTTTTATGCATCATGCTTTTAGTCAAGACCCAGTGTGTTTTCTTGGACTTTTAAAGCCATGAGCATACATATCAAAATTTTTTTCTTTCTTTTTTCTACAAAGCTTATTTTATAGAAAAGACATGTTTCTTCTCCTTTTTGATCTTCATTCTTTTTTGATATAATTCTATTTTGGATGTCCTTTGAATTTTATTTCTGTCATCCAAGTAATAGCAATTCTGTCTAACTTTTGCTTAATTGTGATTCTCCTGATTCCCAATTGTCCAGCTCATGAAAAAAAGTATTAAATAACTCTTTAAATTCTGACACGTATGGAATAACGCATGATATTTTACTACATATAGATGCTGAAAACTTAATATTCACTATGTAGGAACCATAACTTCAGCAAAGATAATACCATACCTACCCCTCTCCTTCTCTGACTGTGTTCTGTGATCCATAAAAGCACTCTATGGCTGTGCACTATACTGACACTTAGCTATTTATATTACATTACTATAATAGAAACATTTGCGAAATTCTACAATAAAGTAACCTATTTACCCAATGTTACCCAAACTTATTTGCTTCATGGAACAACTCAGTAACTTTCTAACACTCCAATGGAGACATGCTGGGCTGAACAGTTTCTTGCAGCCTAGCCATAGAAATGTCATGGAGATAGAAAACTGAGCTAGTTCCGCTCTATTCAATCTTTTACTTTTCTCTTACCCCCAAAGTCTAATATTCTTCAAAGAAAGAAAGTGAAATTGGTCTAACTTTGACATTATTTGTTCATAAATCTAACTTGAATTGTTACACAATATCTAGGGCTCCTCTGAGTGATGGAAAGTAATTTGTTGATTGTTCTGTTATTTTCTCTGGTATCAAGTTTGCATTGACCAATTTATATTTTCCCAGATGTACACATGTATGTGTCTTTATACAATTTCCTAAGTGCTTTGTATACATTAGTCCATTCTAAACTCAAAATAGTCTTACTGGAAAAAGACCAACATTTTAATTTTAAATGCATGGAATATTGTGATTTCAGAGGAAAAGTATCTTTTTAAGGTTTACACAGCTAGAGTGAAAGGGAGGGTTTGAATCCAGGTAGCTCATGAGTCTGAGGACTGTACATTGCACTGTATTGCTGATCAAGTTAAATTTGAGTGACTTTCTCTGTTCTCCAGTGGGATTTAGGCTCCATTTAAATACCTGTTTGAACAAGTCAGTTTTCTCTACACCTGCCCTCTTCCTACGTCTCTGTTATTTTTCTGCCTTCAAAGACACCCCTTCTATTAGCCTTTTAAATCTCCATGTTCCCCAACCCTGTCTGTTCTCAGTCTGCAACTTTTTTCCCTGACATTCTAGCCTATTCTTGTGGTTTTAGATCTTGGTATTATTGATTTAATAGTAATCAACCAATTCTAGCTTCAATCTTTCTAATAAATTCAGAAAAATTTTTCAGCTGTCAGTAAAGATCTCAAAGTCAATATGCTAGATACTAAATTCATTTCTTTCCCCTAAAGCATTTTTCTCTTTGCTCTATATTGAAATTCTGCTCATTTTTCAAGACTGCTCCTCGATGCCTCATTGAAGCCTGCCTAGACTCTCCTGTGCAAAATCAGTTACTTCTGTCTCTCTCTCAATTCTTAATAATGTGTGTAGACTTTCAATTGGTCAACTATCTTTAACCAAAATTATTATAATAGTGATAGCTACCATTTATTAAGTTTACTACGGGCTTTTATACTTCATGACGTAGTTTATGTGTTTTATTGGTTTAAGTCCCCACAACGTCCTCATGGGATATGTACTATTATTATCCTCATTTTA